GCTCACGCCTGCAATCCCAGCACTTTGGGAGGCCGAGGCGGGCGGATCACGAGGTCAGGAGTTCAAAACCAGCCTGGCCAATATGGTGAAACCCCCTCTCTACCAAAAGAATAAAAATTAGCTGGGTGTGATGATGAACATCTGTAGGCCCAGCTACTTGGGAGGCTGAGGCAGGACAATCGCTCGAACCTGGGAGGCGGAGGCTGCAGTGAGCCAAGATCACGCCTGGTGACACAGCAAGACTCCGTCTCAAAAGTTAGCCAGGTGTGGTGGCACGTGCCTGTCATCCCAGCTACTCTGGAGGCTGAGGCAGGAGAATCGCATGGACTTGGGAGGTGGAGGTTGCAGTGAGCCGAGATCATGCCACTGCACTCTAGCCTGAGCAACAAGAGCAAAACTCCATCTCAAAAAAAAAGAAAAAAAAAAAGTGGTCAGGCTCAGTGGCTCACACGTATAAACCCAGCACTTTGGGAGGCCTAGGCAGGCAGATCACGAGGTAAGGAGTTTGAGACCAGCCTGACCAACATGGTGAAGCCCCGCCTCTACTAAAAATACAAAAATTAGCTAGGTATGGTGGCACACGCCTGTAATCCCAGCTACTCCGGCGGCTGAGGCAGGACTGTCACTTGAACCCAGGAGGGAGAGGTTGCAGGGAGCCGAGTTTCACTTCACTGCACTCCAGCCTGGGTGACAGAGTCAGACTCTGTCTCAAAAAAAAAAAAAAAAAAAAAAAAAACCCAGGCATCTGTGATAGGCCAGGCCGTGCACACCAGAGACAAGGTGGATGTGTCCTGGTGTTCCTGGACACCTGCTCTGAAGCTGACCTGAGGGCTTCCCCTGGGGGCAGCAAGAGCATCGCGCTGGTGCCATCCAGCCCAGCTTCCTGGTGAGGGAGCACGTGCCCCTTCCCCAGTCTACAGGAGACGTGGGCACCGGTGTGGAGGAGGGCACCCTCCTTCAGCCTCCAGCTGTAACCCCAGCACCAGACACATCCCTGGAGGCCATACTCCCGGTACCCGGTGAGGTAAAAACTGGGCCCAGGTAGGCACGGCAGAAAGCCTGGCTCCACGAAGGCCCAAGTTCGCGCTCCAGCCTTCGGTGCTGAGCGGTGGCAGCTCTGGGGCAAGACAGTGGGAGTCACACAGCCTCCAGGAGGTGGGGGCGAGAGCATGACAGAGGGAGGCTGAGGAGGAAGCCCTAGGACGCCTGGCCTGGTCTGTGCAATCAAGTCCACAGAGCAGCTCCCGGGTCCCCAGATGAAGCATGGTGGGTGTTGGGCTGGACGGCCTCTAGGTGGGGGCGGCCCTGCCCCTCCAGGGCCCTGAGCCAGCAGGCCACACCTCCAGGGCCTGGGCCAGCCTGGAGCAAACATGCAGTCCCAGGTAGGAACAAGGAAAGAGACCCTGAACTTCTGGGCTTCGGGCTTGGAAGGCTGTGTGTGTCGAGAGGCATTCTGGGAATTGGGGTGACCTCAAAGCTCCAGATTTGGCACCCCAAAAGTCAGCTGTGTCCATCAAACATGCCACGCCACTTGTCTGGCTCTCTGTTTGCCTGTGAAAGGGCAACAGCTAGAGCCCTAGCCACATGACCTTCAGAGAGGTGAGTTACGTGACCCAGGGCCACGTGGGGCATCAGAGCTCAGGCTTCCAGACCCCGGGCCCCGCCACTGTGTGCGATCCATGGTGGATTTCAAACTGCGTGGCCACATGATGACACTGACCCTGCTGTGGAGCCAGCTACCCTCCGAAGCCTCCTCACCACAGAACGTGGGGTCCGCCAGCCTGGTACGGCTGCTGGATCAGTTCATCAGGGAGGCCAGGGCCACCGTGGCCACAAACACCAGCTGCAGGGCTGGAGAATATGGCTGAGTCGGGGGCGCGATCCAGGGAGGGTGGCGGAGCAGTGGGGACCTACAGCTGCTGCAGGTGGGCAGGCTCACCTGGCTGAACAGGTGCACATGCTGAATGGGCTGTGGGGCCTGGGGCTCCTCTGGGAGCCTGGCCCACACCCCCAGCCATAATGCAGGTCCTGTTCCCAAGGCAGGCACAGGGTGGGGGGAGACAGGGGCCCATTCAGCGATCTCGTCACTGCCAACTGGACCGGAAGTCGGGAGGAGTCTGCCACCCGTCCCCAGGGACTACAGCCTGTGCCCCTCCCTGGCGTCTGCCATGGGACAGCCCTACTGGGATGCAGGAGACTCACCCATGCCCCTGCCCATCCTGGCAACAGGGCCAGGTCCTCTGGGGCCACCTGCCTCCCTGGGCCTCAGTGGGGTCAGTGGGCCCAGCCCCCCTGGCTGAGCTGTCAGACTGAGAAGGGAGACCCTCTCTCTGAGAGGGAGGCACCTCTGCCAGAGAGACAAGGAGGCTGAGGGCCCAGGTGTCCCCAGGTGCAGAAAAGGTACTGGAGGTGGGGAGCCCAAGCTCAGGCTTGGCACAGCGTGGGCTCCCTGTGGGTTTTCTGAGTCACCTGCCACCCACCCCCCGACCCCACCCCCACCCCGCTCCTGTTGGCCTTACGCTGTGGCGGGAGAGCGGCTGGCTTGCCTCCCTAACCCCTGGGCTCGCATCAACAGGCATGAAGCCCCTTTCCCTCCAGGCCCACGAAGACCCACTCCCCAGCCCCGTCCCTCGTGGAAGATGCACGGGCAGCAGCTGTGGGACTCCGGTTTCTGCCCGGGCCCGGGAACAGCTACAGGGGGTCCCGGGGGCCGCTCGGAACTCACCTGCGTCCGCGCTCGGGCTCCGTTCCAGCGCCGCGCTCTGGGGCCCCTCGGGCTCCGCGGGGCAGGCCGCCGCCTCGGCCGGGGCGCACAGCTGCTCGGGGCTGCGGGCCGCGCCGCTGGGGCCGGCGGGAGGGGCGCGCGCGCTCGGGGGCAGGGGCTTCCTCTCCAGGACGGTCCGCGGCTCGTCCGCCGGCGCGAACACCAGGCGCTGCGGCGGCCGCGGCGGCGGCGGCTGGTCCCCGGGCCGGACCGGGGCGCGCGTGGAGTCCCGGGGGCCGCCGTCGGCGCTCAGCAGCGAGGAGCGCAGGCCGGCCACGAAGCGCTCGAAGGTCAGGTAGCCGCTGGCCGGGGCCACCCGGCGCAGGCCCTCGAGCACGCCGCGGGGCAGCTCGCGCGCGTCGGCGCCCTGCCAGCGGGACTCGATCTCGCGCAGGTGCACGCAGCCGCGCCGCCGGTCGTCCAGGATGTCGAACAGGGTGCGCAGGCTCTGCAGGAAGGCGCGCGGGAGCCCCTCGGTGCTGGGCGCGGGCCCGGGCGCGCAGGGACGCACGCGGCCCTGCTCGGCCGTGGCGGCCCCGGCCATGGGTTCGAGCCCCGCGTCCACCCGCGTGCGTCCCCGCGCGGCCCCACGGCGGGGCCGGCCCGGCGCGCTCAGCCCGCGGCGACAATAGCACCACTTTTGAACCGGGCCCTCCTCGCCGCGCCGGCCCTCATTAGCATGCGCGGCGGCCATTGGCCGAGGCCGTCCCGTCTGCTCCCCGATTGGCTGCGACGCGGTTTGATTTTTTTTTTTTTTTCCGCCGAGGGGCCCTGGGAGGCGCGCCGAGGCCCAGGGCAGGCGGAACCGGATCCCCGGGCTCCCGCTCCGTCCGGGCCCCGCGGCCTCCGTTTCTGCCCCGCCCCAGCCCCACCAGCCCTCCTGGCGCGGCTCAGCCTTTTCTCCGATCCAACTGTGCTGGCTGCCCCGGCCACCTCTCCAAGGGGCGGGGCCTTTGACCCCACAAAAAGACCTGTCCCCAGGAGCCTCGTGGGGTAAAGACGGGGGCGCACCCCCTCCAAAGGTCCCACGTTCGCCCTCTAGCTCCCGGGCCACAAGCACTGGCGACCCTGCGCCCCGCTTCTCTTCCACCAGGAGGGCCCCAGGAGGATCGTAGGCTCCAGCCAGCTGGGCGCTTCCTGCTCACAGAGGCCTCTCTGTCCCCACCGCTGCTAGCTCCTCCTCTGGCCCCTCGGGACAGTCTGGCCTGGCCTGCCCGCTGCAGGACAAAGCCACTTTCTCCTGTGTCCCCAGATCCCCATCTGGTGACCAGCTCCCCAGCCTCCAGTTCCCCTCTGCTCCTTCCCCTGGCTGAGTACCTCCTCCAGCTGCTCTCCCGGCTCCCACAGCCCTGTCCCTCTGCCTCTGCTGTGTTTCCAACTGGGATCTGGTCACATGTCTCCATGTCAGTCCACATGGGAGGTGAAAGCAGGCCTTACCCAGGGTTCTAGCTCTAGGTGCCAGGGAGGTGTTCAGAATGGAAACACCCTCTCTGGACAGGCCCCCAACCTGGGACTTGCCTTGGCCCTCTGCGGGTCTCCCTCCCTCCCTCCTGGGCAGGCCTCAGCTGGCGTGCCTACCTGAGCCACAGGTGCCTGTGTCTCAAGCCTTAGGAGCAGTTTCCCAGGCCAGGGAGCGTCCTGGGTCCACATTTCCTCTGGGTCACTCACTCTAAGTGGGACTCCTTCATGGTAAGGAATGTTGGAAGGACATAAGAAGCTCTGACCTGGGGTAACTGATCAGAGCTCAGTCCTGGAAGCCGCCAGCTTCCCCTTGAATGGCAGGTCTGCTCAAAAACCCAGCACGAGGCCAGGGCAGGAGGATCACTTGAGCCCAACAGTTCAAGACCAGCCTGGGCAACACAGGGCAACCCTGTTTCTGCAAAAAATTTTAAAAAGTAGCCAGGTGCGGTGGTGCATGCCTGTGGTTCCGGCTACTTGGGAGGCCGAGGTGGGAGGATCCCTTGAACCCAGGAGGTCGAGGCTGCAGTGAGCTGTGCTTGAGCCCCTGCTCTCCATCCTGGGTGACAGAGCGAGACCTTGTCTCTACAACAAAATGAAACAAGCCAGCACAAGACACAGCCCTTTGTTCTGCAGCTGCGTCCCTGCAGCTCCCAGCACAGCCCTCACCACCGGTGCCAGGCCTGCGGTCCCTGCACCCCCTCACCTCCATGCCCCTGCACCTGGCGGCTTTTCTCTCTGGAAAGCCCTTCCCCTCTGCTCTGGCTGACTGCACCACGTCCTTCACAGCTCTGCTGCGGCCCCGATCCCCTTTGCCCTGAAGCCTGGTTAGATGCCCCAACCTTCAGAGCACTGGGCGGCTTTCTCCTGGGCCAGGGGGCTGTCTCCCCTGGCTATTTGGAAGCAGGGCAGGGCTCCCCCTAGGCCTGGCATTGGCCTGGCCCACAGTGGGTGCTCTGTGGACGGCACCGGGGAGCCTTATCCAGTGAAGTCACATGGGAAATACTATCCTTGAGTGGGCACCAAGACAGGCTGAGGCCTACGGGAGGGGGAAGGCCTGGGAACAGCTCAGTAGCATGGCGGTGGAGGCCCGCAGTGAGGAAGGCGCCGCAGCCCAGGACAGCATGGCCAGCAGTGTCCAGGCCAGGCCAGCCGCGGCCCCAGATGGAACTGAACCCACCCTACAGAACTGATCTTCAGCCACCACAAACTACTGGAGTAGAACACGCCATTCATTCATTATTGTTTTGTGCAGACAAAACAGGGCTTTCACATCATCCAGAGCCTTGGGGGAGGCGGCCCAAGCTGGTCCTTCCTTGGTCTGTGGGTTTCCCTGCACCCCCAGCTGAGTGTTGGAGGGACACATAGAAAAGACTGGAGGCTGAGGCGGGGGGATCAGCTGAGGTCAGGAGTTCGAGACCAGCCTGATCAACATAGAGAAATGCTCTCTCTACTAAAACTGTAAAATTAGCCAGGCGTGGTGGCGCATGCCTGTAATCCCAGCTACTATGGAGGCTGAGGCAGAACTGCTTGAACCCAGGAAGTGGTGGTTGTGGTGAGCCGAGATCACGCCGTTGCACTCCAGCCTGGGTGACAAGAGTGAAACTTCATCTCAAAAAAGAAAGACTGGAGGCTATGCCTGGCGTTGGGGGTGAGGCTGAGATGTGGCCCTGCCTCCTTCCTGTCCTGAGCTCTGACCACTTCCTCCTGGCACTCCGCTTTCCAGCCTGGCCCCATATTGTCCCAGCCCTGCAGCTTGCTGGGTTGCTGTCACTCCTGGGGTCCCATGCAGTCCCTGTACTTTTGGAGGCCCCATCCCAGCTGTAATTGTGTTCTCACTGTGCCAGCCTGGACCACTCTGGGCAGAGTGGCAGGAAGACTGGCCCCTGAACCCCTGATATACCCCCAGCACTGGGCACGAAGTGAAGAACTGGCAACAGCTGCCCTGCACCTGGGCCTCCCAGGGCTCCCCGTCTGCACTCCTGGCCTCTAAGCTCCTTGGGAAGACAACTGCCTGGCCACAAGCTGGTCCAGGAGGCTGCCGCCCACCTCAGCCTTGCCGGCACTCCCACCCGTCTGCACGCTCCGTCTGCCTGGGTAGGGTCGCTCCGCCCCTTCTGGCAACGCAATGCCTGCAGCTGCACAAACCTTGATTTTCCAAACTGTCTGTTATAGCCCAACCCACACCTTGAGGTGGGATTTGAATCACCTGACCCAGAGGGCCCAGGGTTCACATCCTGACACCGACCTCCAAGAGACCAGTGCCTCCTCTGCTGCCCAGCCCTGCAGGGGCGATAAGCATTCCCTTGCACTCTGGCCTGGGCGTGGAGCCCGCTCTGCTCACCTGATTCCAGGCATGCCATGCCTACCCCCCAAGTCCAACGTCCACCTGCTGATCTTCACCCACCACAGACAACCGGAGTAGAACAGACCGTTCCTTCCTTTCTTCATTCATTCATTCAGCAGGTACTCCCTGAACATTTGCTGTTGCCCAGTCACAGTGCAGGCTTGCCTTCAACACTCATTTGTTCAGTCAACAAACTTTGACTGAGTGTCTACTGTGTGCTGCATTGACCTGAAGTGATGGGGGCAGAGCAATGGCTTAAACAATGCCCTGCCTCGGCCGGGCGCGGTGGCTCCCACCTATAATTCCAGCACTTTGGGAGGCCGAGGCGGGCGAATCACAGGGTCAGGAGTTTGAGACCAGCCTGGCCAACATAGTGAAACCCTGTCTCTACTGAAAACACAAAAAATTAGCTGGGCCTGGTGGCCGGTGCCTGTAATCCCAGCTACTCAGGAGGCTGAGGCAGGAGAATCACTTGAACCTGGGAGGTGGAGGTTGCAATGAGCAGAGATCCTGCCACTACACTCCAGCCTGGTGACAGAGTGAGACTCCATCTCAAAAAAAAAACCAAACAACACCCACCCTGCCTTCATGGGTTCACTTCTCATGGGGGCATTAGGCAGCAGAAAATGCAGAAAGGCAGCCCGCCAGGGAGGACAGAAGGGTGCTCGCTCATCGGGCACGGCCTGGGCAGCTGAGGCCTGACGAAGCAGGCACCCAGCCAGGCGTTTCTCTGGGGACAAGCAGTCCACGAGGGAGGAATAGGAGGCACAGAGACCCTGAGGCAGGCCCAAGCCCACGCTGGGAAAAGCAACTCCATGCACGTCCAGGAGAATGCATTTGGGTCTTGCCCCAGTGAAGCCCCCTTCCTAACCCAGTGAGGGCATGTGTGTGGGGATAGGGGCAGAACCCGCCTGCCAGGAGACGCACTGCCTGAGGGGTCAGTCGGGACACACGGGGGAGATGTGAGTTTTCATTTGGGTCCCAGATCACCGTCAGCGGTGTGTGAACCACAGCAGCTCCATCTTGAATGGGAGCTGGGTAAAGCAAGGCTGAGACCTGCTGGGCGACATTCCCAGATGGTGAAGGCATCCTAAGTCACAGGATAAGGCCGGAGGACGGCAGAAAATACAGGTCGTAAAGACCTTGCTGATGAAAGCTTGCGGTAAAGAAGCCAACCAAATCCCACCAAAGCCAGCAAGGCGTCGGCAGTGACCTCTGGTCGTCCTCACTGCCACACCCCACCAGTGCCATGACAGTTTACAGATGCCATGGCCATGCCAGGAAGTCACCCTCTGCGGTCTGCAAAGCAGAGGCATGACTAATCCACCCTTGTTTAGCACATCAGCAAAAAAACATAAAAATGGGCAACCAGCAGCCTATACAGTAGCCATTCTTTATTCTCTTACCTTCCTAATAACTGGTCTTGACTTTTCTCTGTGGGCTTGCCCTGAATTCTTTCTTGGGTGAGATCCAAGAACCCCCTCTTGGGGTCTGGATTGGGACCCCTTTCCTTTAACAGCACGATTTGTATATACATATATTTTGAGACAGAGCTTTGCTCTTGTTGCTCAGGCTGGAGTGCAATGGTCCACTCACCGCAACTTCCGCCTCCGGGTTTTAAGTAATTCTCCTTTGGGAGGCCGAGGCGGGTGGATCACGAGGTCAAGAGATCGAGACCATCCTGGTCAACATGGTGAAACCCCGTCTCTACTAAAAATACAAAAAAAAAAAAAATTAGCTGGGCATGGTGGCGCATGTCTGTAATCCCAGCTACTCAGGAGGCTGAGGCAGGAGAATTGCCTGAACCCAGGAGGCGGAGGTTGCGGTGAGCCGAGATCGCGCCATTGCACTCCAGCCTGGGCAACAAGAGTGAAACTCCGTCTCAAAAAAAAAAAAAAAAAAAAAAAAAAAAATTCTCCTGCCTCAGCCTCTCGAGTATCTGGATTACAGGCACGCGCTACCATGCCCAGCTAATTCTGTGTTTTTAGTAGAGACGGGGTTTCCCCATGCTGGTCTCCAACTCCCAACCTCAGGTGATCACCCACCTCGGCCTCCCAACATGCTGGGATTACAGGCGTGAGCCACTGTGCCCTGCCTTCGTTTTTCCTTTTGGACAGAGTTTCGCTCTGTCACCCAGTCTGGAGTGCGATGGCGCCATCGCAGCTCACCATAACCTCTGCCTCCCAGGTTCAAGTGATTCTTGTGCCTCATCCTCCCAAGCAGCTGGGACTACAGGTGGATGCCACTACCTCTGGCTAATTTTTGTGTTCTTAGTGGGGACGGGTACCACCATCCTGCCCAGTCTGCTCTCGGACTCCTGGGCTCAAGCGATCATCCTGCCTCAGCCTCCCAGAGTGCTGGGATTATCGGCGTGAGCCACTGCTCCTGGCCACCATTTGAATTCTTTTCAGCAGTCACATGTGTTACTTTTAGACCTAGTATAACTAGTTTCTAGGAGAAAGTTTTGTGCCCAATTTGCAGAAGCTACCCTTTCATATTTTTCTTTTTCTTTTTTGGGGGGAGATGGAGTTTTGCTCTTGTTGCTGGAGGGCAATGGGGCAATCTCAGCTGACTGAAACTTCTGCCACCTGGGTTCAAGCCATTCTCCTGCCTCAGCCTCCCGAGTAGCTGGCATTACAGGCGTGCACCACCACACCTAGCTAATTTTTTTGTATTTTTAGTAGAGACAGGGTTTCTCCATGTTGGTCAGGCTGGTCTCAAACTCCTGACCTCAAGTGATCCACCCGCCTCCGCCTTCCAAAGTGCTGGGATTACAGGCATGAGCCACTGCGCCCAGCCCCGTTCATGTTTTTCACTAGCAAAATATTGTATTTTTATTTATTTACTTTGAGACAGAGTCTCACACTGTCACCAGGCGCCAGGCTGGCGTGCAGTGGCGCGATTTCGGCCCACTACAACCTCCGCCTCCCGAGTTCAAGCGATTCGATTCTCCTGCCTCAGCCTTCCGAGTAGCTGGGATCACAGGCGCACACTACCATGCCCGGGTATTTTTTTTATTATTATTTTTAGTAGAGACGGGTTTCACCACGTTGGGCAGTCTGGTCTTGAACTCCTGACCTCAGGAGATGCGCTCACCTGGCCTCCCAGAGTGCTGGGATTGCAGGGGTGAGCCACCGCGCCCAGCCACAAGCAAGATATTTTAAAACCTGATAGTACAATAACAACGGAGGCCATGGGCTGCGCTGGGTTCTGCACCCGGCAGTGGGAAGGCGGAGAGGTGGGCGGGACGGAGCCCCAAGCCGCGGGGTGGCTCCTGCAGGCGCCATGCTGGCATCCGTCACCCAGCCCGGCTCCGCCCTCCCCGCAGCTCAGCCGTAGCCGAGCCCTCCTCAATGCACCCTGGCCGGCGGCCTCCGCCCGCGTCTCCGTTAGCGCAAAGGTGGCCACGCCGCTCTCAGGTTCAAAGCCTGTGCTGGGACAGAACTTAGCTTTCCCCTGCGGGGCGCCCCGGAACCCCTTCCTCCCTTAGCTCCACGGTCGGTTCCTCCGCCCACTCCTGAGGCTCCTGGGATCCCTCGGGGCGGGGCGCGGAGTGGACGGGGCGGGACGGGCTCGGGGCCTGGAGCAGGGCAGGAACGGCGACCGGAGCTCGAGGGACGAGGCCAGGGCGAGACACCGGAGCGGGTCCGGGGACGGAGAGGGACGGGGGACCGGCGGGAGCCAGGGGGCTGGGCCCGGACTCCAGTCTCGGACGCGGGGGGCTGGGGGGCGTGAACAGGGCGGGGTCAGAGAGAACCGGGACAGAGTCCGGGGCCCCGAGCGGGGGTGGGCGGGCTTCGGGGCCGGGCGCGGGGCGGGGTCGAGGCGGGGCGCCCCGGACCCGCCCCGAGGGGAGTCTGCACCGCCCGCCGGGTCCCGTGACGCTGGTCAGTGGCGCGAGTCACGAGTGCCGACTGGACCGACGGCGGCAGCGACATGGCCTCGGAGCGAGACGTGCGCGCCCGGCTGCAGCGCGCTGGCCAGGAGCACCTCCTGCGCTTCTGGGCCGAGCTGGCGCCCGAGCCGCGAGCCGCGCTGCTGGCGGAGCTGGCGCCCCTGGAGCCCGAGGCGCTGCGCGAGCACTGCCGGAGGGCGGCCGAGGCCTGTGCGCGTCCCCCCGGCCCGCCGCCTGGCCTGGCCGCGCGCCTGCGGCCCCTGCCCCCCGAGCGCCTAGGCAGCGCCAGCCGCAGCGACCCCAAGACGCGGCGGCGCTGGGAGGAGGAAGGTAGGAGGAGCGGAGGCCCTGGGGGCCGGCGGGGGTCGCGCCCACGGAGGGAGTGGGCGCCGAGGCCGCGCTCGGGGAGGTGGAGTTCCCCCTGCTACTTTGAGACGGGTCCTGCCCCGGAGTCCCCGAGCCCCGGCTCCAGGGTTGGCTCGCCCTAAAGCGGAAGGGTGGGCGGGTCCGGCCGACCCTTCACCGCGCGCGTTCCCCCAGGTTTCCGCCAGATCGCCCTGAACAAGGTGGCCGTCCTGCTGCTGGCGGGCGGGCAGGGCACTCGCCTGGGCGTGACCTACCCCAAGGGCATGTACCGCGTGGGGCTGCCCAGCCGGAAGACCCTGTACCAGCTGCAGGCGGAGCGGATTCGGCGGGTGGAGCAGCTGGCGGGTGAGCGCCACGGGACCCGCTGCACCGTGCCCTGGTGTGTCCTCCCTGCCCTGCCTTGGCCCGGAGGGACCCCTGCCCACGCGCCCCTTTTCCCCACTCGCTCCAGACGCGAGCCCCAACCCCAGCACAGCCCGGGACACAGCCCAGCATCGCACCAAAATGGGGCCTGGCCCCAGCCCCAACTGGACGCTGGACCCCGGACCCTGATGCCAGCTCTGGTCCGAGCCCCGTCTGCCTGCAGGGCGAGGCGCGCTCGCGGCCGGCTCACCGCGCCTCCCTCGCAGGTACGTCATGACCAGCGAGTTCACGCTGGGGCCCACCGCAGAGTTCTTCAGGGAGCACAACTTCTTCCACCTGGACCCCGCCAACGTGGTCATGTTTGAGCAGCGCCTGCTGCCCGCCGTGACCTTTGATGGCAAAGTTATCCTGGAGCGCAAAGACAAAGTTGCCATGGCCCCAGGTGCGGCGCGTTCCTGAGACGGGAGGGGCCTCCCAGACCGGAGCTGGGAGTGTAGCCTGGGGTCCGCGTGCCCGGGTTCGCGGCTGCCCCAGGCTGTGCGGTCCCGGGTTAGGCGCCTCCTTCTCTGGGCCTTGAGCCCCCGTTTGTCACGTGGTACAGCCACGGGGCTGTCTGGTTAAGGACTAGGGTGCCTCAGGCACAGGGCCGGGGCTTTCCCCGCCTCCAGCGCGTCCTAGACCCGCAGAGTGAGCCCTGGGGGGAGCCCTCGCGAGGCCCGTTCCCTTCTCCGTCTGCAGACGGCAACGGGGGCCTTTACTGCGCGCTGGAGGACCACAAGATCCTGGAGGACATGGAGCGCCGGGGAGTGGAGTTTGTGCACGTGTACTGTGTGGACAACATCCTGGTGCGGCTGGCAGACCCCGTCTTCATCGGCTTCTGTGTGCTGCGGGGCGCGGACTGTGGGGCCAAGGTCAGCGCCCACCAGCGCCGCGCCCCGCCCCCCGCCCCCGCGCCTGGCCCCGCCCGCGAAGCCCCGCCCCCAGCCCCGCCCTCGGAGCCCATCCCTGGTCTCGGCTGCAGGTGGTGGAAAAGGCCTACCCCGAGGAGCCGGTGGGCGTGGTGTGCCAGGTGGACGGCGTCCCCCAGGTGGTGGAGTACAGCGAGATCAGTCCTGAGACCGCACAGCTGCGTGCCCCGGACGGGGGCCTGCTCTACAATGCAGGCAACATCTGCAACCACTTCTTCACCCGCGGCTTCCTTCAGGCCGTCGCCAGGTGTGCGGCATCAGGTGGCCATGGAGTGCCTGCCAGAGCTGCCTGCGCTGACCAGGGACCCGCGGGGTCCCGGGGAGCTGTGTGCCCTGGGCCACAGCGGCAGTGGTCAGGTGCGGCTGAGGGGTTGTGGTGGGGAAGGGATCCCACTCTTGCACAGGCAGAGGTGCTGGAGGACCTGCCCTGGTGCCCATGGCGCTACCTCTGCCCCAGGGCCTGCCAGTTTCTGTTTGCCCGGGCAGGGGTGTGGCACGGGCTGCAGGGAGGAGACCTGTGCCCGCTCCTCCCTGGAGATCCAGCGCCACTGCTGCACCGGTGTGGTGTAGTGTCGCTGCTGCCCTCCTGTCTCACCTGGTTAGGTGTGCTCGGAAATGGGGACAGCCCTCATTGGTGCCCTATCTGATCTGTGTCTTTCTTCCCCTCTGCCCTCCCTTGCCCCAGGGAGTTTGAGCCTTTGCTGAAGCCCCACGTGGCTGTGAAGAAGGTCCCGTATGTGGATGAGGAGGGGAACCTGGTAAAGCCGCTGAAACCGAACGGGATAAAGATGGAGAAGTTCGTGTTCGATGTGTTCCAGTTCGCTGAGTCAGTAGTGGGGCGCTTTTATTTTCCCTTCTTCCCTCTCTGTTTTGGTGGCGGGAACTGAGGCCCAGCGAGGCAGGGAAGTGGAGGCCTGGGGAGAGGGAGCAGGTCTTGGGGAGAAGACCAGAGGGTGCTCTTGGCCCTGAGGGTCAGCAGCCCCCAAGATTGGGGCATAGGGAGCCTCTGGGGCAGCTGGAGTCCTGGGGCTGTGGGTCTGGAAGGACCCTCCGCTGTCCCCACCCAAAGTTAGGAGCTGTCTCTGGCCAGGTTGCCAGGGCAGCTGGGAGGGCTTTTGGCTCTCACGACAGGGGTCCCAGGGTCTGGGCTTTTGGCTGCTAGAAGTGGAGGGCCCAGGTCCTTCCATTTTCTGGAGTCAGGTTTGGAATGCCATCTGGAGAGAGGTGGCTGCTTGGGTGGAGACGGCACAGCTCTACCTCGGTTTACCAATGGGGTCGGTGGTTTAAAGTTGCAGTACCCACTGGGGCTCCTGCCTAGACTCGCTGCCCATGGGACCAGACCCTCACTCCATTACTGGAAACCCGGCCCAGCCCTCACCTGCCCAGATTGGGGCCTCTGGGCTGGGACAGACGTGACTGGCCCTTTCTCCACCAGGAACTTCGTTGCCTTTGAAGTGTTACGGGAGGAGGAGTTTTCCCCGCTGAAGAACGCAGACTTGGCCGACAGGGACAGTCCCTGTACCGCCCGCCGGGCCCTGCTCGCCCAGCACTACCGGTGGGCCCTGCGGGCCGGCGCCCGCTTCCTGGATGCACATGGGGCCTGGCTCCCAGAGCTTCCCTGGTGAGTGTGGCCGTGGGGTAGCTATGGCCAGAAGGGGAGGGTTCAGCTCCCAGCCCCTGCTGGCTCTGCCACAGCCACGCTGGGGAGGGGTCTTCTGTCCCGGCACCACCCCAAGTCACAAGGTGACCATTGGCTCAGCCTCCTGGCCTGACCCTTCAACTTCTGCTCAGAGCTCTGAGGGAAGCAGGGGCTCCCCAACTCCCCAGTTGACCCACAAGCTTTTGGTTTGTTTACAAAAGCATACTTAGATTTGCATTTTTTTTTTTTTTTTTTTTTGAGGTGGAGTCTCACTTTGTCACCAGGCTGGAGTGCAGTGGCGTGATCTCAGCTCACTGCAACCTCCGCCTCCCGGGTTCAAGTGATTCTTTGGCCTCAGCCTCCCAAGTAGCTGGGACCACAAGGCACGTGCCACCACACCCAGCTAACTTTTGTGTTTTTTTTTAGTGGAGACGGGGTTTCCCCATGTTGGTCAGGCTGGTCTTGATCTCCTGACCTTGTGATCGGCCTGCCTCGGCCTTCCAAAGTGCCGGGATTACAGGTGTGAGCCAGTGCGCCCCAGCAATTTTTTTGTTTTTCTGTCCTATTTGTACGAATGTGTAGGGTACGCATGCAATTTTGTTACATGCATATAGATTGCACAGTGGTCAAATCAGGGCTTTTAGGGTATCTATCAATCACCCAACTAACGTTGTCCCTGTTTATTCGTAGGCTTTGAAACAGCCCTGGGCATGAATTCAGAAAGTAGCAGGACAGTTTGATACCAGGGCTGGGGGAGAAAAGGATGCTGGGCTTCCGTCTCCCTGATTTTCTAGGGCCACCCCTAAATCTGCCTAGGCTCTGCATGGGAGGCCTGTGGAGATGCTTTCTCCCCCAGATCAGGTCCTGTCACTTGGCAGTGGGATGTGTGCTCAGGGTTTGGGGTGTCCAGAGGAAGATGAGCTTGCTGAGTGAGAAAGGGGCTTCAGGGAGTCAGGTGTGTGCTCAGGCTTCTATGCAGTGGGGGACACTGGGGGAGGGCTCTGGCCGGCTGTGAGGAGATATTGACAAGTGGACTTTCGCTAGCTCACCCCCAAATGGAGACCCTCCGGCCATCTGTGAGATATCGCCCTTGGTGTCTTACTCTGGAGAGGTGAGAGCTGCCCATCCCTGTCTGGGCTCTTCTGGAGTCAGGTTTGGAATACTATCGGGGAGAGGTGGCGGCTTGGGTGGAGACAGCACAGTTCTGTCTCGGTTTACCATTGGGGTCCGTGATTTAAAGTTGCAGAAGACCTTCCAGGATATGGGGTGAGGTGGGGTGAGGCATCCAGAGGCCTCTGCAGGTCCTGGGGATGAGACGACCCAGGTCTGTGCCCAGTGTGGGGCCAGTCAGGCCTTGGTGGGGCCTTGCGGAGAGAAGATGCTGGCCTCTGCTGCCTCCCTGACTGCGGTTGCCTTTGCTCCTTTCTCTGGTCAAGTCAGGCCTGAGCTGGACAGGAGGGTCTCCCACTGGCCTAGGGTCTTGAGTGGGGTGTCGGGTGTCCTGCAGTGTGCATCTGCTCCTGGCCCTGGAAGCTTTTCTGTCCCCACCCCTCCCTGACTCTAGGCAGACCTGGGATCATGCCTGGGGACTGTGACCGGCCGAGAGGTGGGCACTTGACCCTCATGGCCTGCTTGTCTCCAGGGTTTAGAAGCGTACCTGCAAGGCCGAGAGTTCCAGTCCCCGCTCATCTTGGATGAGGACCAGGCCAGAGAGCTGCAGCCACAAGAGCCCTGACCCTGCCAGGCCTGCCAACCCCAGGTCCTGGAGCTGGGGGCTACAGCCCCGGCCTGGGCTCTCACGTGCTTCCAGCCTGCAGAACACAGGATGAGACATCCTGGTCCCCTCCACGAAGGCAGGCCCTCGCCTGCTGCCTCTGGACACAAGTGGTGCCGCCTGTTGGGGCTCTGTGGCTCCATTCCCAGCTGGGGGGGTCCAGCCGAGAAGCAGAGGGACTTGGGACCTGGGAGAATGGGGCCGAGAGGAGGCTTTGGGTTGGGGCCCGAGGGAGGTGTGGTGTCATTTGGGAAGAACAGGAGGGCATGTCCTTCTGGGAGCCAGCCCCGTGGATCGCCGCACCCAGCCAGGCACTAGAAGCCGCATAAGCTACGCTGGACGTGCTTCTGCAGCCTACAGATGCAGAACCAGAGCGAGGGGACGACTCCACCCACCCAAGGGCTGCCCCTCCTCCTCAGCAGCTGAACCAGTAATGGGGGCGAGGCTGGGGTGTCCCACCCACACACCTGGGTGCCCAGCAAGGCCACAGAAAGGGCCTGATGTCCGTGATCCAGGCGGCTCTGAGAAGCTTGGCCTGGACACCTGAGCCTGCAGCCAGCACTCCTGCCTCCTCCCCATTTATCCCCAAGGCCGCCGCCTCTCAGCCTCATCCACGGTCACTTTAGGCCAACGAGTTTTCTGTGCTTCCCCAAGAACCAGTGGGATCAACGCCGGTGGCCTCCGTGAGGGCTGTTGACTAATCCGGAACTTCATGAGTCAGAGGCGCCAGCCCTCGCCTCAGCTGCCTGCTGCTTCTGATGGATCTTGGTGCTCAGGCTGCCCCGCTCTCCGAGTGAGGCCACAGCCTCCATATTTAGGGCCTCGGCCCCTCCCTGCACTTGGGCCTGGCTGGGACAAGCCAGCGGCCCCAGGGTTCTTTCCTGATGATTCTCTCCTGCTTTCTCATCTCCAGGGAGATGAGACTGGCACCTCCCTCTCCCTGCTGGCATGGAGAGAGCTATGCCATGTAACCTGCTGCTGAATCATCCTCAGCCCCACCTCACAAACCACCACCCCCAGTGGAAGGCCCCTACTTATCCCCATTGGTTTCTCAGGGAAGGGTGTTTGGAAGGGTAGGTTCAGATGCAGCCTTCCAGATTTAGAGGCACTGGGAGGACAGTGGCTGAGTGGAGGCACCCAGACCTGGGCAGGCAGCAGGCACAGGCCCACACCTTGCTATTTTTGAAACCAAAGCCCAGAGGATGACGTCTGCTTCCCCTCCCTGGCTCTGCCCTTCTTGCTGCAAAACATGCAGTGCCTTAGGGCCCTTCTCATAGGGCTCCTCACGGCCACGACTGGAACAGGGACGCACCTCTTTCTGCACAAGCACAGTTGGCTGGGAGAAGGTTTTTTTTTTTTTTTTTTGAGACAGAGTCTTGCTCTGTCACCCAGGCTAGAGTACAGTGGTGCTATGTCAGCTCACTGCAACCTCTGCCTTCCAGATCAAGTGATGCTCATGCCTCAGCCTCCCAAACAGCTGAGATTACAGGTGCCTACCACTGTGCCTGGCTAAATTTTTTTGAGACGGAATTTCACTCTTGTTGCCCAGGCTGGAGTGCAGTGGTGTGACCTCGGCTCACTGCAACTTCTGCCTCCCAGGTTCAAGCAATTCTCCTGCCTCAGCCTCCCAAGTAGCTGGGATTACAGGTGTCTGCCACCATGCCCAGCTAATTTTTGTATTTTTAGTAGAGACAGGGTTTCACCATATTGGCCAGGCTGAGTCTCAAACTCCTGACCTCATGATCAGCCCACCTCGGCCTCCCAAAGTGCTGGGATTAGAGGCATGAGTCACCACGCCCGGTCTCTCCATGTTACTCAGGTGGGTCTCAAACTCCTGAGCTCAAGTGTCATCCTCTGGCTTTGGCCTCCCAGAGTGCTGGGATTACAGGCATGAGCCACTGCACCTGGCCCTCTCTTATTTTGCATTTTCGAATAACCATACCTTCATGTAGAGTTAAAGCCCAGAGAGGTCCTGAGTACTCTCCACCCAGATTCCCGGTGGCAGCATCTCACATGACTACAGGACAATGTCAGATCCAGGAGCGTGAGACTGCTGTGGTGTTCCAAGTCCAAATGCGTGTGGTCCAGTGCACCCACAAGTCAAGTCACACCGCAAAGGTCTCCCTCTGCTGCCCCTCATCAGCACACAGCACTACCACCCATGGCCGCGGGCAACCACTGATGAGGTAACAGTCTGTAAGATGGTTGCCAGCATCTTCATGTTCTGTCTCTGGGATGTTTCCAGTAAACAAAAGGTGCTGTGATTGACTGAGACACTGGCAAGTGCAGTTTTTGGCTAGTGCGCGGGTGGTGGGAACAAGGGTCAGGTGTTCACAGCTGTGGCCCAGGGCTGGCCTCACTGGGGGCCTTCTTGGGGTAAGGAGTTCACAGATGAAGGCCGAAACTGCTTGGGGTGCCCAGGAATCCCTTCCCTTCCCATCCCACTCTTCACCAGGTCTCCGGAGGGCCTGAGACAACCCGGGGTCAGAAGCCTCGGGTGCTCTCCAGGGCTGGCTTCTGCATGCTCAGCTCTGATGACTCACTCTCCTGCACCTGCAGCCTCCAGATGCAAAGGTCTCCCTGCTAACCACATGGGAGGGATGCTTGGGCACTGCAGGGACTTGACAAGAGTGAGTGGTGTCAATCTAAAGAGAAACTCAGGCTCTCCAGAACAAATGCATTTAATTGAGAATAACAGATGACTGCAATTTAGGGTATGCAGGCCTCAGTGGGCCATAGGCATGGTGGGGGTAGGGTGGGGATAAAGAAAAGGGGGAATTTTTTTTGGGGGGGGGGGGGGGAACTGGGTCTCTTGTTTCCCAGGCTGGAGCGCAGTGGTACGATCAAGGCTCACCGCAGCCTCGTCCTAATGGGCTTAGGTGATCCTCCCACCTCAGCCTCCAGAGTAGCTGGGACCATAGGTGCACACTACTACACCACACTCATTTTTGTATTTTTTTGTAGAGATATGGGTTTCACCCTGTTGCCCAGGCTGGACTCCTGAGCTTGTGGGATCTGCCCACCTTGGCCTCCAAAAGTGCTAGGATTACTACAGGCAGGAGTCACTGTAGTGACTCCTTGTGCACCGCCCAAGGGTTTTTGTTTTTTGTGACACGAGTCTTGCTCTGTCGCCCAGGCTGGAGTTCAGTGGTGTGATCTTGGTTCACTGCAACCTCCACCTTCTGGGTTCAAGGAATTCTCCTGCCTCAGCCTCCTGAGTAGCTAGGACAACAGGCATGTGCCACCACGCCCAGCTATTTTTTTTTGTATTTTTTGTAGAGACGGGGTCTAAGTTGGTCAGGCTGGTCTTGGACTCCTGACCTCAAGTGATCTGCCTGCCTCAGCCTCCCAAAGTGCTGGGATTACAGGAGCCACGGCGCCTGGCCCCAAGATAAATCTTTTAAAGAGAAAGAGAAGTTACCATAAGCTGTTTGAAACCAAAGGTTAGCCAGGCACTGTGGGGAGGCCGAGGCAGGTGGATCGCGAGGTCAGGAGATACAGACCATTCTGGCCAACACGGTGAAACCCGGTCTTAACTAAAAATACAAAAATATTAGCCGAGTGTGTGGTGTGCACCTGTAATCCCAGCTATTCGGGAGGCTGAGATAGGAGAACCGCATGAACCCAGGAGGCAGAGGTTGCAATGAGCCGAAATCGCTCCATTACACTCCAGCCTGGGCAACAGAGCAAGACTCCATCTCAAAAAAAAAAAAAAAGAAACCAAAGGTTATAAAAACCAAAGGTAGGCCGGGCGCGGTGGCTCAAGCCTGTAATCCCAGCACTTTGGGAGGCTGAGGCGGGTGGATCACGAGGTCAAGAGATCGAGACCATCCTGGTCAACGCGGTGAAACCCCGTCTCTACTAAAACTACAAAAAATTAGCTGGGCATGGTGGCGCGTGCCTGTAATCCCAGCTACTCAGGAGGCTGAGGCAGGAGAATTGCCTGAACCCAGGAGGCGGAGGTTGCGGTGAGCCGAGATCGCGCCATTGCACTCCAGCCTGGGTAACAAGAGCGAAACTCCGTCCAAAAAAAAAAAAAAAAAAACCCAAAGGTTAGCAGGGTTTGCCGCAGGCCCCGGCGTTAGCTGACTGGCAAGACAGCCGTTGTTAATGTATTTGTGAGGGCTTCTTCATGACCTCCAGACTCTATAGAATGTGACATAAGTGACTCCATTTGGGTAAAGGCAAGTGTCACAGGGGGCAGAGACCAAGAGAGACCGCAAGATGACCCCTAGAAGGGCAGGGGAACAGGGACGAGCCACGTACTGAGCTGCCAGGGTGGGGGGCGGGCCCTCCAGACACCCAGAAATGCCGCAGCCAGGACCGTGGGATGCGCAGACTCGCCCAAGGGGCAGCGGGCAGCTTGGCCAGGAGAGAACGAAGAGGGGCCGAGGCTGAGGTTCCAGGAAGGGAGGGCCTCGGGCGGCCAGGGACGTCGCTTGTCATTTGGGGGAGGACAACGCGCGCAGAAAGCGCAGTCATCTCAAGCTGACCTCCAGGGCTAGCGGGTTCGAGGGCCGGCGTGTCTGAAAGCCCCGGCCCGTCTACGGCGCGGGGACTGTGGGTCTGGCCCGCCGCTCGGCCCCTGCCCAGGCGCATCGCTCGAGCCCCGGCGGAGCGGCCAGCTTGGCTCGGGGTAGCGGCCGCCCCAGCCCGGGTGCCGCCCAGCTCCGCCCCGCCCTGCGGGGTCCGCGACCTCGGGAGGGTCCGGTCCTTCCCTCGGCCCCTGGGGCTGCGCCCCGGTGAGGCCATGGGCTCCTTGCCGGTGACCACGCGACGAGGATGGCCCCCAGCCCAGGACGGCGCCCAAGGGCGGCCCAGCTCCATCCCCGCGCCGCGGGCCCGGGACCAAGGCGTCGGGCGCCGGGGACTGCTGCCAACATGGCGGCGCCGCCCGGCCGCCTCCGCGGCTCCCGGGTGTCTGCGTGCTCCCGCGAGTGCGCGGGCAAAGCCGGGGCCGCCCGACTACAGGAGGCGAGAGGAGCCCAGCGCCAGCACCGCGGAGCGACCCACGCGGGATCCGCGGCAGCGACCACGCCCCGGGAGGATCCCAGGACCGCCCTGTTGCCACCGCCGCGCCCCGGGCGTATCTGGGCATGCGCGGCCGGGCGCAAACGCGGTGAACCCGAGGGCTGGGCGGAGCCGCCGCTGTTCTCTGACGCAGCGCCGCACAACGCAGCCTCGCACGCTGGAACGCAGCGGCGACCGGCGCAGGCGCAGTGGCTTTAGGGAGACGCAGCGCATGCGCAGTCGCGTAGCCGTGCGATGGGCGGGCTGTTGACGGCGGTGCAATGGCTGCCTGCGAGGGCCGAAGGAGAGGAGCTCTCGGTTCTTCCCAGAGTCGGACCTCCTGACGCCGCCAGTGGGCGGGGTCCCCCGGGCCGTCGCCACCACCGTTGTCATGTACCCGCCGCCGCCGCCGCCGCCTCATCGGGACTTCATCTCGGTGACGCTGAGCTTTGGCGAGACCTACGACAACAGCAAGAGTTGGCGGCGGCGCTCGTGCTGGAGGGTGAGGGCCGCGCCGGGCTGACCCGGGACCGGGGCCGCTGCGCCCGCCGCCCTCCCTGCCTGCAGCTTCGAGCGGGGCCTGGGCGGGAGGACACGACTCCCCCGGCGCCGGCCTGTCCACCCCTTCCCTACAAAAAAGGGCAAATGTGCGTTCCGGGTCGGGGCAGTCGTGGTCGGCTCGCCTGCAGCGGTCTCAGTGGCCCGAATTCTGCGGGGCGGTGGTGGGAGGAGGTCTCGGAGCCCCAGCAGGTTGTCTGGGCCTCGTTCGCTTTTCTGCAAGGTCCTGGCCTAGGCCCTGGTTCCTCCTGGAGTGGAAACCAACACTTCCTTACAGTGTATGCTCCCCTCGGTACAGTGAGAAATGAGCCCCTCGTGGTTGGCTCCTAGTGTGTTGGTGGTGGGCTCAGGCTCAAGGGCATCGATAACTTACCACATCCGGATACGTGCATGGCCTGGACGGGGCTTGGGCTCCATCTGGGGGAATCGCGGGAATCTTTCTTCACTGCTGATGAAATGTGACAGAAATGTTTCTATTTTTCTTATTTTTATCACACCCGAACCAGTGTACTAATGACATCTAGAGTGTTGTCTCAGCAATGTTCATACTCCCTGGTGGGAGGCAGCTTCTCCCCATTCAAAAGAAGTAGAGCTGGCTGGTTGCGGTGGCTCATGCCACGTTCCAGCCGCTGCGCTCCAGCCTAGGTCTGACAGACTGAGACCCTGTCTCCAAAAGAAAAAGAAATAGAGCTGAACACTGGATCTTTACGAATTCCTTATTGTCCTCACAGTTTGTGACAGTTGAGACTTTCCATGTGATACGTTCAGTAAGAAATGTCATTCTCTGTACCTCCCTTAGAAATGGAAGCAACTGTCAAGATTGCAACGGAATGTGATTCTCTTCCTCCTTGTCTTTTTGATTTTCTGTGGACTCCTCTTCTACATCAACTTGGCTGACCATTGGAAAGGTATCAGAAACACATATATTTGAAAATGGTATCTGTGTTGAGGGTTGATCGGGCAGAAGCAATCTTGCATTCTACCTTAAACAGCTCCAAGAGGCATATGTGGCAACGAATTGGCAAGAAATCAAGATAAAGAGAAAGGTAGAGCTGTATTTAACCACCTGGCTAGAACACAGATCTTAATTTGATGCTGTCTGACTGCTTTCTAGGTATCTGGTGTAAGTACTGTTATGTCCGGCCTCTCTCATAGAGTAATTCAGCTCATGGACTTGAACACAGCCTAAATAACCACACTAATTTTGTAGCACACATTAGCGTGTGTTTGGAAAGGAACAGGCAGAGTTCTCATGAGGACGTAGAGAATCTTTTCTGCCTTTGCCTAAGATGCTTCTCTTAGGAGCAAAGCTAAAGGGCTCCTGCAGGTTGCTCATGTGCCCCAGTGCCACATGCTGAACTTCACTGAATGTAAGACCCCAGGCTCCTTGCCCACTTGGCCAGGGTGGCCCTGAGCCCAGGACGGTACCCAAGGGTGGCCCAGCCCCATCCCTGCACCGTAGTCCCAGAACTGAGACGCCAGGTGCCCATCTGTCACATGCTGAACTTCCCTGGTTGGAAAATGGGAAAGCAAAAATGTGGGGTTCTGTATCATGGATGAGGACACACACTGTCAAGTGTTTTGAAAAGATTTCATTCCCTTGGGCCATTGTTGAATTCATTCTGGTGACTGTCAGGCCTCATAATGTTGGTTTGTAATGGATAATGCCTGCCAAGTGTTTTTATGAAGCAATTTAAATCTCTTGTAGGCCTTGTGGTATATTTGAAATAAAATAGCTTCTCTCATTCAGCTCTGGCTGTCAGGCTAGAGGAAGAGCAGAAGATGAGGCCAGAAATCACAGGGTTGAAACCAGCAAATCCACCTGTCTTACCAGCTCCTCAGAAGGCAGACACCAACCCTGAAGACTTCCCAGAGATTTCATCGCAGGTACTTTGAGCACATGGTATGGAGTTATAACGGGGGTCCCATCCAGAGGCATTTCAAACCATTGAAGATCGAAAAGAATTATTTTCCTTTACCATGTGTTCCATGTGTTGGCCTGTCTCTCGTCTGGACTGGTTGAATACTACTTGGGTAAGGAGAGGCACAGTCTTTGCTTCATTCTTGAACACCAGCCAAGGCCAGTTACCATTTTAGTTCTGACCGTGCAGTGTTGAATAAGATGGACTTGTTTTCTCTTGAGTGGCCACAGCTGGTAGGAGAGGCTGGTGAGAAACCAGCCGCAGACGGGCAGAGGCAGGTGGCACACGGTGTACGTCCTGTGTGGAAAAGAGCAGGGCGCTGGGGAAGAGCAGTGGCTGGATCTGAGGGCCCAGGGGAGCCCGTGGCACTGAGGGCAAGATCTGAGGGCTGAGAAGCTGCTGGCACCGGGCAGGGTGGGGAGAGGCCGACTTGAGCCTGAGTGAAACTGCCTGAGGCAAGGGGGACCTTGGCATACTGCGGAAGGTGAAATTCCCAGGGCTGGGAGCGGAGCGGGGGCTGGCTCAGTCCAGCCGTGGTCCTGCAGGTCCTGGAGGCAGCCCTGGAGTTTTCAGCTGATGTACACAGGAAGATTTTGGCGTGGCCTGCGTGTCTGAGAGAGATGTTTACCCTGAAACTGCTCTGGCTACAGGTGGAGACGCAGTGGAGGGCAGGAGGCCGGAAGAGCTGCCTGGCCGTGGGAAAAGCTGAGTGCGGGGAGGAGTCCAAAGGAATGGGCTGGAAGAGGGAGGGCAGGTCCCCGGTGGAGGGGCCACCATGGAGCTCCGTTTTGGATCTGCCCAGCGTGAGATGCCTGGGAGGTACCATGGAGACCGTGGTGGGCAGGGTGTGCCAGGATCAGAGTCTGCCAGAGGAGACAGGGTTTAGGATTCCCTAGGTATGGATGGTTTGTGTCGTCCGCAAAGGTTGGAGGAAGGGGCCAGCCTGGCTGAAAAGATTGGGATCAGGGAGGAGGGCAGGGGCAGTGGAGACTGGGAATGGGTCAGGAGGCTGCCAGAGAAGCAGGAAAATGTCCTGTCAGTGAAGGTTTGGATCAGGAAGAACAGCCACATCCCCGACGCCCCTGGGAACACCAGTGCTGACTCTGATGTGGCTGCTCGGAACCCTCTGAAGGCCCTTAGGGTGTTAGGTACTATTGTTGGTGCAGCTGTGACTGTGTCTAGGAGATGTGGGAGTGCGCTGGGAGCTTCCCCTGTGGCGGAAGTCCTCAGCACCAGGTGAAGGTTTCACTTCCCTGCAGGGGTGTCACAGGGACAGACAGGAAGCGCTTTCTAACAGCAGCCTTGGGAGTCGTCACCTGCTGAGGAACAGCTCCTGGGCTGGGAGGTGGAGGCAGGCTCCTGCCCACTGGCCAAGGATCCCAGCAAGAGGGGCATTGGCCCCCATGAGCTTGGCCGCTCTCAGACTGCCATGGGGGTGTTTAGGTTTCTTTCTTTTTCTTTCTTTCTTTTTTTTTTTTGATACAGTCTTGCTCTGTCGCCCAGGCTGGAGTGCAGTAGAGCAATCTTGGCTCACTGCAACCTCAACCTCCCAGTTCAAGCCATTCTCCTGCCTCAGCCTTCCGAGTAGCTGGGACTATAGGCACGTGCCACTATGCCCGGCTAATTTTTTGTATTTTTAGTAGAGATGGGGTTTCACTGTGTTAGGTTGGTCTTGATCTCCTGACTTCGTGATCTGCCTGCCTCGGCCTCTCGGTGCTGGGATTATAGGCATGAGCCACTGCACCCAGCTGATTTCTTTTTTTTTCTTTTTCCTAGAGACAGTCTCACTCTGTCACCCAGGCCGAAGTGCAGTGTTGTGATCTTGGCTTTCTGCAACCTCCGCCTCCCGGGTTCAAGGAATTCTCCTGCCTCAGCCTCCTGAGTAGCTGAGATTATAGGCGCACGCCACCACGCCCGTGTAATTTTTATATTTTTAGTAGAGATGGGGTTTCACCATGTTGGCCAGGCTGGTCTTGAACTCCTGACCTCATGATCCACCTGCCTCAGCCTCCCAAAGTGCTGGGATTACAGGCGTGAGCCACTGCGCCCGGCCAGATTTACATTATAATAGAGATGAGGTCTTGCTGTGTTGCCCAGACTAGTCTCCAATTCCTGAGCTGAAGTGATCCTCCTGTCTCAGTCTCCCAAAGTGCTGGGATCACAGGCATGAGACACTACACCTGGCTAACTTCAAATGTTATGGGGGCTGAGGGGAGAAAATGGGAACATCCAGAATTATTCATGGGAAGAAAACACGACCGCACGTGACGCCTGTACCCACTGCAACTCTTGAAACATTTGGTGTATGTCCTTCAGTTTATTTGGGTCAGGCATGGTGGTTCACACTTGGAATCCCAGCACTTTCAGAGGCCAAGGGAGGCTGAGTGCTTGAGCCCAGCCTGGGCAACATGGTGAGACCCCATCTGTACCAAAAAAAAAAAAAAAAAAAAAAAGATTAGCCAGGCATGGTGGCACATGCCAGTAGTCCCAGCTCCCTGGGAGGCTGACGTGGGAGGATCGCCTGAGCTTGGGAGGTTGAGGCTGCAGTGAGCTATGATCCAGCCTGGGTGACAGGGAGACCCTGTCTCAAGAAAAAAAATAATAATTTTATTTGGATACACACATGTATGCGTAATTGAGGGCGAGGGTCTGGATTGGTATTTGGATACACATGTATATATGTAATTGAGGGTTAGGGGCTGGGTTGGTATTTGGATACACATGTATATATGTAATTGAGGGTTAGGGGCTGGGTTGGTTCCTGTTTTTTTCATGCACATTATGAGATATTCCCTTTCACGCAGATTTTTATAGCTCTTTTCCATTGCATGGATAAACCATCGTTTGTTAAATCATTTATCTGTTGATTCTTT